TAGTAAAAAATACATTTTTCCTGCCAATTCAAATCAGGTCAGATCACAAGGTCTACTAATTGACTCCTTTGTGACTAAGCACTAGCAGAGCCATCTATGTGCAGAGACATGGCACAGAAAATATAATAAATGAGCACAGCATTTTCTTAATTTTTTATTCATTTATGCGACGGCGTTGGTTAATAGGACTAAAAGTTGCAGTTATTAGTAGAAGAAATAATCTGTAGATATGAATGGTAACACCGCAAATGAAGGAAAAAGACTGCAGAAGGGGTTACTCCAGCCATTCCTGGGAATCCACAAACATCACTGTATGAACCAGAAATCTTCCTGAACCTTCAGTGACTTGCTTGCATAGCAGTTGTTCTATTTTCTTAATTTTAAGATTTATTCTTTCTTTGCATATTATTTCACGAATCAGCGAGCATAGTTTTTCCTCTCGTTATGTTCGTGTCATTAGATACATATTTCAGCAGTCATTTTTGTGAAATTATACAAAAGTATTGCGTGTCACATAATGTTCTTATTCTCGCTTTGTAGGGAAATTCCATAAATGAAAAATGTTATTTTAGTCATTCTGTCCTTGGCAGGTAAGCTTAAATTTTACCATGTCTGTGTGAAACTGAAACTATGCCCAATTATCTGATGTGCCTTAGTTTTTCTAGTTTTCATGAAGTGCTTTGATTTATGGTTTCCTTTTTTGGGTCCCCCCCCCCCCCCCCCAGGTATGCCTACTACCTCGTTCCCAGTGATTTTGAGGAACCAGTGAAAAATCAGGGAAAACTTTCCGAATATGTCAACCAAGAGTACAGTAAAATAAGTGTATGGAGTAGATACCCTGACGAAAACTTGGACATTTTTCATCTGTTATAAGGTGCGCAAATCAAAAATAAGGGAGATACAGGACAGAGAAGACAGAAGATCGACCCTTCATTTATTAAGTGCCCATCCATGGTTACCTTCCGGGAACCAAAACAAATTTGGCGCTTAAATCATTACTGCAATCTATCAAGTAGTTCATGTATTGCTGTGCACTTGTTAGGACGATTATTTTGTCATTACCAGTGTCTGTTTTTCATGTATGTAATGCATCGTTTTAGTTTTATTATGCTACTTTTATGGCTTTTGGTAATTATTTACGCTATTCTTTGCAATAACCTTGTACGCATGCGTAGAGAAACACTGGTGAAAAATGTTTCATTTAAAGTGCTGTGTTGATTCCGGGTCATTTTATAGCCATATTGTGGATATACTGGACAAATTGACATTAGTCTGAATCAAAGCCTGATATTTGAGACCAATGAGTACCCCAAATGCCGAAAAAAGTGATTGGTAACCAAGCAATTCTGACCATAGATGGAAGCAAAGAAAATGTGGTTTTACCCTGGGGGTCCAGGGGCGCTAGGTAATATATAGATCCTATTTTCCCAAAGCCACAGGGATCCAGGGGGCATAGTCCCCTGGCTAGGCGTATATATTGCTAAGGGTGTCTAGTGGGCAGAGCCCCTTGGCTAGGCATACATGTTACCACAGGGATCCAGGGAGAGAAGCCTCTTGGTATGGGTCCAGGGTTAGGTTAGGTTGGCTTATTTGTTAGGAAGCATTGTACGATTACCACAGGGGATCTGGATTATGTAAAATCCCGTAGATTTTTACTGAATGACGGATTTTTTTCAATGTGGCACATTGGTCCATAGACTTTTTTGTGCTTGTTTTACACATTTCTGTTCTCTTATTCTTATTTCTGCCTGTTTTATCCCATAATTTCCCTGGTCTAGTTCATGCCCTCCCCTGCTATCAGGACTTATCAAATCACAGCAAGATTGTTGGCTGGAGAATGCGATGGAGATTATCATCAGTTTCATTCTCATCACACGAGAACTTGTTCTTGCCTTGGCTTGTTCTTGAAGTGTTTGTATACTTTAATTTCATCAGGTAAAGCAAAGGTCCTTGCAGAATTGTCCTACAAATGCTGAGACACTTTACTAGATTGAGATCTAAGAATTTGGGCCTATTTAATATAATTGGGACATAGTTAGAAAAGGGGAAAGGCTAGGGTGTTCCTCACTCCTTGGACAAGATATCCTCTGTATAACTTCAGACCTCACTGAACTGAAGTGTATGGAGTGACTCTGACTGTGTGTGTGTGTGTCTCTCTCTCTCTCTCTCTCTCTCTCTCTCTCTCTCTCTCTCTCTCTCTCTCTCTCTCTCTCTCTCTCTCTCTCTCTCTCTGTCTGTCTGTCTGTCTGTCTGTCTGTCTGTCTGTCTGTCTGTCTGTTTAGGTAATGCCACTGTTTGTTGGCTGTACAGTAGATTAGTAACATGGCAAGATTACATAGCAGGGGATAAGTTGTTGATGTAATAAATTTATTACATGATGTATGGATAGAGATGAGCTTGTATATAATCTGTCCTTTTCCGTGGTTGGAATTATGTGACAAGATTGTTTTGAGCCCTGTAGAATAAAACATTTTTGTTCAAGCACTGGTAGTAGCACAGGCATAGAAGATATTTCACAAGTGGAAGACTAGTGTTCTCAATATCTTGAAAGTTTCTTGCTAGACTCAATATTGCCAATTTTCTGTCCCCATTTTGTCTTTTGGTCAGGTCTTATTTTTAGTTTGATGTCTTTTAAAAGGAGTTGTCCTATTACTTTTTTATTTTTTAAGCCCTTTCACATTAATGTTTGATGTAAACAAGTTTCTCACAATCTTTTTTCAATTTTTTCCAGGAGGAGGAGGAGGAAGAGGAAGAGGAGGAGGACTTGGTAGTAAGTTGGATAAAGTTTGGTTGCTGTAGTTTTCTTATCTTTTTGTACATATGTGAAATACATCTAATGGTCTCGGGTCTTCTCAGAATAATTCCTCCTTCATTTACAGGATCCAATGGATGCCATTAAAGAAGCATGTACAAATACCAAACATTGTGCAGAACTTGGGGAAGCATATTCTAGCTGCAATGATCGAGTAAGTGCAAGATCAAAAACAGAAGAAACATGCTCTGAAGAACTGTTTGACCTTCTACATTGTATTGATCATTGTGTAAGTATCCTTTATTTCAGTTGTTTAGAGGGAAAGGGGGGTATATTTCATATATTTCAAGTGATAAATGTATTCATGTCTCTTGTATAAGTAAGGTGTTGGTAGTAGAGGGGGATAAGAACAGTGACTAGATCAGAATACATTTTGGCTGGGGAGGTCATTGCCCCCCCCCCCCCTCCCCTCTCCATTATGTGAACATTCAATTATTTTCTTCAAAATATTAATAATAATATTTTTATTTTTTTCAGATGGCATCTAGTTTATTCCAGAAACTGAAGTAAGCAAGGTCCCTTCATATGAGCATTTTTAATTTAAGAATATTGTTTGTGTTTGTTAAAGCACAGATAGAAACAAGATCACTGCCATGTGGCAAGAAAGAAGTCTTAGTATCACACTGATGTCCTCACTAGAATGGACCAAATTGTGGAGTCTGATTTTATCCTGGCCTAGATAATGTATATGAATGTAAATAACCTCTGCTGCATAAATTATGTGAACCCTGTAGGGAATAAACATTTCATTTATGGTTTGGTTATTAGATATTAACCTTTCTATCTTCTAAGGATGTGCCTGAAAAGTTCATTGAGCACATGAAAAAAAGTAATGTTAGCAGTTAACCATTGCACAACATTGGAAAATAAGATGAAAAATTTGTATGAAAAGAAAAATTAATTGAATACTTAGTAAAAAGGTTTGTTCTTTTGTGAGTCAAATTAAACTGGTTATACTAGTAACACAGGCCTAAAAAATATTTAACTAGTGGAAGACTAGTGATAGTACATTTTATTTATTTATTATTATTATTATTTTATTTTTTTTCAAAATGAGCAAAAATTTAAAAACTGGGAATAATAATCTTGTGAACAGTTCAATTTCCCACAAAACTAAATTGTACAATTTACAGAACCTGAAACCGAAGGTGAAAAAAAGGCCAGATATTCAGGGCATACATATTTCAGGACCAAGAGTCTTTGCACAAACCATACAAATTTAAATTTAGTACAAGAAGCCTAATATTTGTGTGTGGGTCTATAAGATTTGAAATAATTAGTAAACTGTTCATTGCATAGTTATTTTCTCTACCTAATAAAAAAATAGGATATACTGGCAATTGGAAGTACTACCAGTAGGTGGTTGACTGAAATATGGTCACTGTCCTATAATTTCACTCAATATACACAATCACCAAAAAATCCTCCCCCATACTTGCTCATTGTTGACCTCGGCCCATGCCTCAACTAATTTACATGGGCTCCTCTTCTCCTCCTTTCCTTTTTGTTCTCTTCATCCCCTTCTTCTGTCCACTTAACATGGTGTGAGTTGTCCAAGAGCCATGGGTGCAGTATTCCCTCATGGTGACTTAAGGGGTAGACTTTCTTTTCCCCACTTGTTTCAGGTTCACCATAGCTGACAAATATATTTTATCCTTATTAGGGCCATTAAGGCTTTTCCTTTCATCAACTAACCTGTCTTTGGTTTCCCGGCCCCTGATACTAATAACCCCTCCTTGGTATTAGCTGTCAACTGTATCCCTTCCAAATCATCCACCCAAGTTAATATGCAGCCTTCAGAATACACCCCTTCCTTTCTCCTGACATCCTCCACTCCATCTCCTACTGCACAGTCTTTTTTTACTTATTGTCTGCCTCTACCCCTTATTAATTCTATTCATCCTTTTTGTCTTTCTCCCCATAATACTACCTCCTACCCTTGCCCTTCTGCATCTACCTCTGCAAACCTTGAATACTCTTTGTAGCCCAGCCAAGTGGGATCTATTCTTTCATTCCTCCTACAGCCCCTTACTCTGACAATACCCTTCTCTTCCAACAATGTCTCCAAAAACAAGCAAGCAAAGTTTCCTTTTGTAGTCTTTCCCATTGTTCACACTTTGTCAGTTACATCTGAGTACCACTATTTATTCTGACTGCCCTACTGGCAATCCTATTCATGCCCAAGCTCACTCCTCCCTTAATACTTGTACCAGAACAGTTTCCATCTCCCCAACTTATTGTCCTGTTTACAAAGACTGGTCAGACTGAAAATGACCTGCTTGCCTGCCTCATTGACTACACTCTTCATCCCAGTGGCCAGTGTATTACTGCCAAGATTAGCTTCCATAGACATGAACTCCCCAATAAAGTTTGCATTGGTTGTGTGTCCTACCCTGACCAACCATATTGATCCTTTCCCCATCAAAGTTGGAAACCCAACCAAATTCCCTCCACTGCCCGCTGCCCTCTATGTGCCCAACTTGGTCATGACAGTTCAAATTGCTTTGCTCAGTCACTCACATGTGCCAATTGTGGTGGTTCCCATAATGTATTTTATAGGAGCTGCCCTGCCGACAATCTTGAATCTGAGGTAGCATTTCTCAGATTTAGGCCTCGCTCTATATGAGGCCAGACAGGAAAGTACACTGACAAGGTTTTTCTCTTTTTACCAATTTCAAAACTGTCCTTTGCTCCACTACCCTCCCATTTTCTTGAGACATCTCAGCATTTCCCCAGTATCTCTTCCCTCTACCTCAAACCATCCTACCTCTAGTTCCTCTCTCTCCCCCAGACAAATTCCTTTTCCAGTCCCAAGTCCAGACACTCCTTATGTTCCCCCAACCCCTCTTCCTCCCACTCTTCCCCAAAACACCCCATCCTCTCCTCTATGTGTACCACCATTTCCTCTTCTTTCCTCATTATCCATACCACTCCCACTTGTCACAACAGTGTCCTTGTCTGGCTCCTTCCTCTGACATTCTCCCTGATACTTCACCACCTTCCCTGTTCCCTTACCTCATTCTCTGGATTCTTCTACTTCAAATACCACTTCTACCCATATTACCCACTGATTGTTTCATAATGGCACTTTTCAATTTCCTCATACATGGTTATTCTCCCTTCCTTAAACACATACTTTTCATTTGATGTAATTGCCTGAAACCCTCAATCCCTTACCCTTTCACAAATAGCCACCATACTCCATTTGCTTGTGAAAAGGGTTAGGAATGGGTTAACGATTAGGGTAAAGTTACCCTTAGGTTGAGCAGTATTAGAGGGCAGTATGGTAGTCAAAAGGGTAGAGAGGGAGGAGCTCATGGGGTATAGTGTTAGGTAAAGGTTGTTAGAAGGGGGATGAAGAAAAGGATATGGTTAATGGTTAAAATCAAAATAAATGTGCTAGACATATAAGGTTGTGTAGCACTATAGTAAATGTTAGTGAAGGGTGGTTGAGTTAGTGATTAGTTGTCAAAACTGGGCAAAGGAATGAAAAGGAAGAGGAAAGGCCATGCAAAATTAGTTGAGGCAATTCAGGCCTTTTCCCCCCACACCAAAAGTTGATGTGTTCCTTAGTTTGTTAGGAAATATCTACTGTTGTTTTAATATTTATTTGATTGCTATTTCTTGACTATGAAGGGGTTTTATCTTCTGCTTCATAATTCCATTTTCTTTCATTTTTTTCTTTATGGCAATTAACTCTACATGGCTCTTTTCAACGATTTAGGGGAATTATATTTCGTTACTAAATATTGCGAAAGTATTCTTGTTTTACAATGTCTCCCTTCGGAAAACTTCAGCTCAGAAAATAAATGTTATACACTAACCTATATAAATATTATAGGAACACTGAAAAACAGTATCTGTCATCAGCACAGTAAGTAAATGTTGCACAGTAAGTAAATGTTTGATTTAATAATTGGTCTTCTTATGCTAGTAAAGCATAGATATGTTAAAGGGGTATATACATTAAGAAGCTTCAATTTGGAATTTTGAAACTGGACCCATATGGAGGGAATTTCAAGGGTTGTTGATCACTCTAACGAGTCCTACACTAATCAGGTCATTATGCATTATACATCATTTTAATCCAAACATACATACAAATTTCACTTGGAGTGTCCCCAAACAGAAATAAAACTGACACGATTTGTTAGGCCAGACAAACAGCTGGTTTTCTCATGTTCTTACTATAGCTATTTCCATATTTACAATACATATGTATGAATGTACATAAAAATCACTTGATTGGATACCAGCAGACATTATTAAATCAAGCACACCTATCAATGTCTGAAGATATATTAATGATGACATTAAAACACATTTTGATCAACTTTCTTTTATACAATATGTACAGGAAAAATTGCCAGGATTCATTGTTCATATTATAGCTGAATCTTCTTGCCTTTGAACTTTACTATAAGTCGTATTACACTGTTGATTTACATGATACATACACTGGGAATTGTACAATAATGAAAACAAAATCAACAACATAAAATTACAACCCAGACAACTCCTTTCTTTTTTCCTTTCCCCTTACAATTGCATTTTTAAACAAATCACAGTACAATTTTACAGCTGAAGGAGTGTCATCATTTCCAGGAACAGGGTATGTGATAAGGTTGGGGTTACAATTAGTATCAACAATACCAACAGTAGGAATTAACATCTTTGCTGCATCTCTGACTGCAGTATGCTGAGTGAGGACATTGTTCAAGGTATTAATAAAGATTACAAGGTCTGGTAATCGCGTTTCGCATCCAAACTGGATGGTTGAATTCGTGAGGATTCCTCCTTGCCAAAATCTGGTGTGGGCATACTCACCACAATCTTTGGCTGTGTTTTCTACCATATGCTGCAAATAAATATCACTCCATTAGTTTATTCAAACTCCTGAAAATTGTTATGGAACAGAATTATCAAATACAGTAGCTTGTTTTGCATATCATATAAGATATTACTAATCTAAAAAAAAAACTTTTAAATGTCATATTGCCTAGAAAACAGTGAAGAGTGATTTTACAATTCAGGTTATGCCTAGAGAACTTAAAAGATTAAATAATGCAGATTTCAAATTTGAAATATTAGATCTCTTCTACATGAATACATGGGTATTAATGTCATATTTTTTTTTGTTTTATATAAAACTATAAAGAAGCTAGACAAAGAAGAAGTTCACACCATACCTGAAATTGCGGATTCCTACAGACGAAAAGTATGATTCCTCCTCGGTAAGCTATGTGGGCCGTGAAGTTCAGAGCTTCGCGTAAATGTTGCGACGTCTGGTCAAGATCTATGATGAGATGACCAAGGCGAGACCCAAAGATGAAGGGATGCATGTAGGGATCAAGAGACCCCTCTTTGTGTCCTAGGTGAACTCGAGCTTTGAAAAGGTCTTCTACAGTAAATAAATTGGCAACTTTAAAATAATCTGGATACTTCAACGTTGCCCTCATTTGTTCTTCTTGAATTTCTGTGACGTGAGAAAGTGAAGAGAAAAATTAGGAATGAAATTTAGGGCAAGAATTATAACCCTATCTACACAAGTATTATGTCCACATCTATTATTGCCTTATATAAATTTTGATCTAAAATTAAATTTTGAATTGGAACATTTCTTACCTGAGTCACTACCATTTTCCCTTTCCATCAGCTGCTGTTGGCTGTGTGCAGGTCTGGAGAGTGATGAGAGCTGGCATCTTTGAATGCCACGCAAAAGTCCGGCTGGAGACACAATTTCATATTGTACATTAAGAAATCATTTTAAATTCTTACAAATGATATCCACCATTTTACATCCAACATTTAAAAAATAATAAAAAGAAACAGTAAATTAACGACCTATAGATGTTACTACGATTTACAATATAATGACTGATTGCCTAAAAATCATTACTTTTTTAGTTATACAAATGCACATATTTGTGTCTTCTGTAGACTTATAAACTGGAAATTGCAATTAAAAAACAATACTGATAACCATACCAATGCATATTTAATTTGAAATTATAAAATATATAAAGCTATTTGGATTCTAGAAAATTTGGGAAACTAATTTAATTGCATGAAGTTAATGGCTAATAAGTCATTTTGTAAATATTGAAGGAGCATACAGATTTGTAACCTTTTTATTTAATACCCCACTATCTGTTGAGCTCTGGAGTCTGCACCCTGGGTGTGCAATTTCCCATTCTGGGACTGTTGAGGTCAGGCTAATATATATCTTAACCTAAGCATATCTTTGCCAATGAAATTTTTAACCAAGTTAATTTGCTTAAAAAAACTTCAATAATGCAGTAAAAGAAATAAGTAAAAATTAGGTAATCACCCACATTATTGCTCTGCATATATATACATATTAGACAAACATGCATGCATTATAGATGGCAAGAGTTAAAATGTGTGTGCACTGACACAATGGATACCAAATAAGCACTGTCATTGTCTTTTAAAAGCATAAACCACATGTTCTCCTGTCACTATAAATGATAAATTAGACAGTGTATATTATAGCATTTCCCATTTAAAGATTTCACCACAAACTAGGCCTTCCTCTCTCCTTCCTTCTCCTACCTCACTCTTGCCATCTCTAAAACTTGAGCATGATTTTTAAAATTCACCTCATGTTTAAAATAATTTGAAAATAGCACATGTCTCTAAAACTCCCATACAGATAATGCTTGGACAACCAGCATACAGATATATACAGAAAATCACAGACAGACAGATAAATATTATGTGTGCGAGTTTATCTCAATTTCAGACTTATATAAAACTAAAATCAGTGCTTAAGAACTGACCACATACAAAACATGCATACCCCTAACATTCAAAAAAGTGACTATTCTACAAACCAAAACTACATATCTATTACCCACAGAGAATAAAGCAGAGCACATATAAAATCAATGATGATATCTTATGGCATGTTGCTTCAGAAGTCACTGAAACTATATTATCAAAATGATGTTTTTTCCGTTTCTGTTTCCTCTTATTTTTCTTTTTCTTGTATTCATTTGATTTTTCTGATATTTCCTGATCGGTTCTGTTTAACCAAATCAGTGTTACATTTCTTTCTTCTGAAACTGTATCACTAACACTTGGATTTGAAATATCACTGACTACAGGTGAAACATTTTGTGGCATCACATGTATTTCTGATTTGGAATTCTTATGCTCAAAAGAGCAACCTTGAACTGAATCATCATCTACAGTTTCCTTGCTTTTATCTCCTGGTTTCTCTCTATAAATACACTGTGGAAACTGTATCATATCATTCAGAAAACAATTCATACAGCTTAATGCAATTTCACTGATTCTGTACCATCCAGTTGTTTTCAAAATTGCTACAGTCAGAGGGTCAACAACAATAGTTCTAGACTCTAAGTTCCCAGGTATCATTATAGAAAAAACACCAGAAAAGAGTTCCACTGGCCAGTGTATCCCTGTTCTTGTTGCGGCCAAAGCTACTCCTCCATGCGGGGTGAAAGGAGAGTTGTTCATGTCAAGTGTATCACTGCTATCATACATGTCATATTCTTGCTCAGCTAAAGAAACATCAGCATATTCAAAAGGTTCCTCTGGACTAAAACTTTGGTTGTATGAGTTACAATCTACTGTCTGATTTAAGTATTCCATGAGTCGTGATGCTGCTGCTGTTAACTGTGGTGACTGAACAATGATCTCTTTCTCGCCTAAAACCTTCAAGACGTCTCTCCTTTTCCAACACAAGAGATTTTGATTCAAATCATCCAATGAGGCATGTGGGTCTCTTTCTACATCACATTCTATGAATTCCATTATACTTCTGTAGTTGAAACCTAGAAGATGTATTACCTCATGGACAATTATCCGCTTCAGTAACAAGGGTGTCAGTTCAAACAGGCGGTCTTTGCATACTATTACTGTTCCAGCTAAAGGCCGCCCACTCCGCTCGCCACCAACCAGCGCTGTGCTAAAACGGCACATGGAGGAGACCGCATGTGAATGGCTACAGAATATATCTGAACTGGACATTATGTAGAGTATGAAGTTTGTGCCGTCCCTGAAGCCCTTTCCTGCCGGTAAGGAGTCTGAATTACAGCCGGGGTCATCCTTGCTGAAGACCTCCAGTCCCTCCAGATGGGCCTCAGGAATCAGAGCCTTCTCACAGTAGTCGCCCGTGTACCTTGCAGACACGCCAGCGCACTTGCCAACATTAGGGCCCTCAGTGTAGAGGGCGACACAAGCCCCTATGTCTCTTGGTAGGCGGAACACAGGCCCTACATCAGCATGCTTCAATCTCACCACTTGAGCCATGTATGCCACAGCATGTCTGATCTCCTCCTGTATATCTGGCTCAATTGAGCTATCTACAAACTCAACATGAATCTTCAGCTCTTTTCCTGTGAGTGTGTCTGACGTTGCTTGTGATCTCGCCGCCAGAGATACTGTCAGCAACAGAAGACAAGTTACTTCCATCTCTGGGTACTACGCAGAGGGTTGTGTCTACAATTAGCATATTGGTTGGGAGTTCGGGGCATGAATGGGGTCTTTGTCCTTAGCAACATCCAATCAGCTTCTCTCATCCACTAACTCATAGCAAAAAAAAGAAGAAAAAAAAAGTAGTTTAGCCGACTACTACAATAGACAACTGACCAATACTCGTCAAGTGACCAAGGACGAGGCTGTTTACGAGACGTACTTTATAACATGGACTTCTTGCAAGCTTACGGTAAGTACAGTTCTCCTAAGAAAAACAGCGCGATAGGGTACAATACTTACAGCTTAGGTAATGTGAGATCCTCCTACCACACGCCGCCATGGTCAGAAAAGGAGTCAGAGGGGCAGAAGCAGCATGAAAGGAGCCTCAGAACCCGGCGAGATGTTGCACGTCGCGCCGCCCTGCTTCGCCTCCCACACGTAGATGGCGTTTTGACCCGTCCGGTCGTGTGGGACTTTTAAGCTCTCTTCCTCTCTCTGTTTCTCTTAGAATACGGCTCTCTTTTATAGCGCCTTCTGCTCTTTATGCATATGGCCCGGCCGGTCGTGTAGGACTTTTAATCTCTCTTCCTCTCTCTGTTTGTCTTAGAATACGGCTCTTTTTAAGCGTCTTCTGCTCTTAATGCATATGGCCCGGCCCGTCGTGTGGGACTTCTCAGCTCTCTTCCTCTCTTTGTTTCTCTTAGAATAGGGCTCTTTTTATGCGCCTTCTGCTCTTTATGCATATGGATTTTTTTCACTCGTTTCCGTTCAATTCCGTGTTTTATCACTGTCATACTTGATTTTTAAAAAAAGAAGTTCAGGTTGATTAATAAACTCTAATGAAGACATTTAATATCACTTATAGCAATACTCGGCATTAGACATCCCTGGTACATTTCCCTAATTCGAGAGGCATCAGACATCCCTGGTACATTTCCCTAATTCGAGAGGCGCTTCCTCGGCCTCACTCGCCTCGCGTTTCCAGAAAATAAACAAACGTTGCGCCACCGCGGAGCCCGAGGGAGAGAGAGAGGGACCTTCTGCAAGTGCTGTTTGGACTCGTTAGTGGCAGGATGTCAGTTGCCAAGGAGGTCGCGTGTCATGAGGGAGAAGTGACAGTGGGAAGTGAGCACATCATCTTCAGCGGCGAGAACGTGACAGGAGATTTGTGTCTGGAGGGCGAAGGGACAGAGGAGAGTGTGCCCCTCCTGAAGAAGGTGGGCAGGAGGTGGAAGTCCCTACCCGCGCAGGGAGATGACGTTACCATAAAGGACCCCAAGCTGAAGCAGGGGTATCTGGGGGACTTGAGGAAGAAGTCGATCATTGAGCTGGAAGATGCGCTCAGGAGGCAGGATGCAATACTTAACAATAAGTAAGTGCAAGTCTGGGGTGGTATTCACGAAGGGGATAGGCTTTGAGACTTGTTTGTGACAGAGAGATTACTATGACTCCACAATACTTAAAAGTAAGTTAGTAAAAGTCTAGGTTGGTATTCACAAAGGATCATAGACTTTTAGACTAGTTTATGACGGGAAAGAGTATGACTGTGGCTATGTTTATAGTATCGCAATGCAATGTTTATTGACAATTTTTCTGGGTGTTCCAGTCACGTGTGCACAGTGTCGAATTCTCAAACTGTTATCACAGCACTGAATCAGTCACTATATTGTCTAATACAGGGGGTTATTCCCCCTGCAACCCTGCCCAGGGAAACAAAGGATTTTCAGCATGTTCACAGCAGGAGAGAGTGTTGGACAGACTTGGCATTGGGTGTCATGTTGGTCATGTGCCCTACCCTGCCATGAGTAGAGTGAGAATTCCACACTGTGCATATGCAACTGGAACTCCCATAAAACCAGCCAATAGACATTATATTAAGTTACCTTAACCCAACACTGGTGAAGAAAATTAATAAAAACATTACACTGAAGATTAATGGCAGTGAGCTGACTCTGAGCACTGGAGTTTATAACATCAGGCTGAATGTCCTGGTCGAAGCGCTCTGGCAAAGACCAAGCGTTTTTTTATGACGCTGCAAGGCGTGACCCGGGAGTAACAGTTTAAACATAGTCACTCCACAACTTTTATGAATTCTTTAGAATGATTTTCATAACATTATTCCTGCATATGTGAGTAGTAGAAGATGAGAGGAATTCTGAACATATACCCAATTTGGTATATAACTCCTCACAAGAATGTCTCTCTTAATAGATTTTTGTCTATGATTCAACTAGACACAATTAAATTAAAATGGCCATATGAAACATGAACATCAGCAGTGCAGTTGGTTAATCTTTACGGTTTGGATGCACTAAGCTAGGGCAAATTGAAGATGATATTCTTATAGTGTACAAAAAGTTACAGTCGTCGGCACAGGAACTAATCTGCAGACACGAACGGTAATGTCACAAATAAAAGAAAAAGGTCGTGCACAGCGCCGCTTACAGCCTAAGTTCAGTCGGTGCTCCAGCGGCTAAGTCCACTCGTTCGGTGCGAACGGTTTTTCTTACACTGCATATCCTTTTCGGTAAAAGTAAAAGAGGGGGTCCAGGGTAGCCGTGCCCCCTTGGCTAAGTAAATAGATAAACTGGTAAAACAAGACCTGTATCAACGAAGACCTGTATCAAGCTCTATCTTGCCGTACATATCGAGGTGAAGAGAATGTTTGCCGGGGGGTGTTGAGGGGCAGAGCCCCCCATCAACCCTCCCCTCGGGCAGTGCCCTTTGGGCACACCCAGTCACGGCAACTTGGACTGTGGAGTAAATATTGTGCCGATAACTGCGTTAATCAAATGCTCGCATTTTTTCAGCATAAATATGAATTATAGCACAAATATACGAAAAGTTGCATTCTTTAATCTTCACAAATAGAAAGTTTGGCTCGCATTTCCGAAAAGTTGCATTTCTTTGCATTTACAATTTCCTTTGGTCATTTACTGGCACTCAAATCAAACAGGCTACCCCCCCAACCCCCAGTTCCCCACGTGTCCCCCAAGATTGTTGGCTGGAATTGGGGACTTAGTCTCTGACGAGTGCATCTGTGCCGTAAAGAATTACCGTGCAATTTAACATGTTAAAGATGATTCCACCTAAGGAAAATGTTGTGGCTCCTTTTGACTTATTAATTAATTAAGTAATTTCCTCATTGTTATTTGATGACAGATGATGTTAATTATCATTTTAATTTCTATATTTGTTGATTATTTTCTAATTGGAGTTAGTATCAAAGCATAAATATAGGTGGCACTATTCTCTCCTAGCCTGAGGGGACCCTCCCCACTGTCTCTATAGCTGGGGTTCCCTATCTGGGAGCCGTGGAGCAAAATGAAAAATGTCAAATTAAATTGAAAATCATCTCACTTACAGTACTTACATTTAATTATCTCTCACACTTTCTCTCTCCTAGAAAGTGATCTTGTTCTACAGCTACTGACACCATTACAATATTTATAACTAAATAACTGAAACTGAAGGGATGACAGTCACTGAACTAGGTTATGGAGATTATTATACATTGGTCAGGGGCCACAGAATGAAAAAGGTTGGGAAATACTGCTCTGTAGGGTACAATAATGATGTACAATTAGATGCTGACCCCTTGTCTAAATGACTGGTGATGTATAACATGTAGACAGGATAGTAAGAGGAAGGGGACTCAGACCAGCTGTGTAGCAGCTGCAGTACGCCTCTTTGCTATATCTGCTATAGGCTGTGACACTCACAGCAGTAGACCTAGGCAAATGTCAACTTCCTTCTCATCATCACTTTTTGTCTTCACTTATTTATATTTTTATTGACGTATTTATTTCATGTATTTTTGCTCAAAGTAGAAGAAAAATGTTCTGACATAATAAGCTGTTATGGCCTCTTAAGCTACAATTTCAGTGTATTGCAACATTGGTAAAGACTTTCAGATGTCTAATTCAAGCACTTTAATATACTAAAATGTTATAAACACCTCCACAAATGTAGCTCAAGTATTAGTAGGTGTGACTGAAAGGAAGCAAGGAAGAATATGACATGTCATGCACCAATTATTCAGTCTGATATTAAACCAGTATCAACCTGGGGGTCATGTAAAAAAATGACTCCTGTTCCCAGTGGTGATGCAAAAAGATAGAATGTCTGCACATATTAGTGTGTTTAGGTTGGCATAGCCGAGCATAGTTAAGACGAAATATAGATTGTTCAAGGAGAGTCCTGGGTCTGAGAGTTGCCAGAGTTGTTTTCTCTTAGTATGTTATGGGTAGTAGGATTGATGTGAATTGAGACATTAGGTAAGCCACATTTTTTGATAGGCTCATGCTACATTTTTGAGGACTAGGCCATGTAATATCTTCCTTAATGATCCAGTACAGCTGATATAAAATACCAGCCAGAGTTCTATTTACCATTAGAATATTTGTAGTGCTATTAATGTTAATCCTGCTATATAGAAGTTAAGTCCCCAACTCCATGTCACAATATTTTCAACAATTTAAGATGCTGTGAGTGGATGTATCCTGAGTGGACTTAGCCTTTTAGCATCTCTCTCTCTATGATCTTTTTCCTTTATTTATGGCACTACTGTTTGTGTCTGTAGATTATTTTTTGCAACACTTTGTCCTCTTTAAGAATATTATCTTCAGTTTTCCGTAGCTTAGTGTGTCTGTACCATAAGGATTAACCAAAATGATAATTTTCAGAACACTGCTGGCAAAACTTCCAGACAAGGGTGAACGCCTTAGAGGCAGGCGGAGGGAAGTTGCTGAGGCTCTTGAGGAAGTGAGAGAAAGGGAGAGGAATTTGAGAACCGCGGACCTTCCTGTTGACGTTCAGGCACTAGGTTTGTATAAATTTACTAATAGGCCTTACAGAAAAAAAATTATTGTTGCAATTGTATTTTTGCATTATTATTATTATTATTACTGTAGATATTATGTTTTGGGAAACTCATTTCACTTACTAAAAAATATTACAGAATGGAGAGGCATCAATGGGAATATAAGTGAGAGAATTACAACCACTAGACAGCCACATGGTGATGACAGTGATGATGATGAAAATTTAGACCCTCTGGAGCTCATGGCTCAGCACTCTTCTTGCATCAAGAAAAAAGATCACAGGAAGTCCTGGTAAGTTCTTCAGGAAAGCTTTGTTTGCATTAAGTATAGAAAGAGAATTCAAGCATAATGAGAAGGAGAATACTGGAAATATATCTGTATTGATTTTGTTATGGATGGCATGACTTACATGCCGTATCTACTGTAGTTTTTATTGTGTTATATATAGATGGCTCCACAAGTGCTTAGTCACCAATGAGTTGGTTACTAGTCACATCTAGTCATAGCTGTTTACCCTTTTCCTTGATTTTCAGAAAGATATTTAAAATATATATTATTAGTATTTTTAGCTCATTGGGGACAGATGGCAAGGCTACAGTGCCATTTCCACTATAATGAAGGTTCAACTATTGTCTTTACACATAGATGGCTCTTAATCACCAAGGAGTCAGTTATTAGTCTTACCTATCCCACCTGCATACTCTATTTCTTGAATTTTTGAAAGCTTCATTTTTATTATCTTTAATGTTATTAATATTTTGATAACAATTTGATAATCATTATATCAGTAAGAATAATAACTGTCAATATTAACCCAATGTGCATGGGCTTTTTCAGCGGCCATGTGGTCCCTCAAATGGGGTATATCTGTATGGGCTGTGCGCACACTCTTGGGTTTTTCTCTCGTTGCACACGCCTCACAGACTCTCAGCCACTCACCGAAATTTGATGAGCATGAGTTCTTTGACATCAACTTTTATATGTACTCAGTTTTACTTGTTTTTCCATTTTCAAACACTCACTGTTGCCAATTTATTGACTTTACCAATGTGATAGTCAGTTGAAATGATAGTGAATACTCCATATGAGGTAGGGGACCAACAAAATCAGGATCGCATTATTTTTTTTATTTTGAAATCTTTTCAAAATGGAATTACATAGTTTCTATGTATGGAATAAGTATATACATGTACATACTTGTAAAAAAAAACAAAAAAAAAACAGCATAAATACATATTACATATATATTTATGTACAATGAAGTACCTCAGTTCTGCTTCATGTGATACTCCTTGAAGCACCCACATGTTAAGAAAGCAACATCACATACCTTGCAGGAATTTTTCACCATTTTCCTTGGTCCCCTTGTAAAACAAACATGGCAGCACTGGTACTTTTC